TTGTCCCCCAAAATCTCCTCATTTCCCCCCAAAATCTCCTCAGGACCCCAAAATCCCCTCATTTCCTCCCAAAATCTCCTCATTTCCCCCAAAATATCTCCTCTATTTCCCATAAAACCCCCTAATTGCCCCCCAAAATCCCCTCATTTCCCTACCCCAAAATCTCCTCATTTCCCCCCAAAATCTCTTCATTTCCCCCCCAAAATCCCCATTTCCCCCAAAATCCCCTCATTTCCCATAAAACCCCCTCAGGATTCCCCCAAAATCCCCTCAGGATTCCCCAAAATCTCTCCTATTTCCTATAAAAATCCCTCATTCCCCCCAAAATCCCTTCAGGACCCCCCAAATCCCCTCATTCCCCCCAAAATCCCCTCATTCCCCCCCAAATTCACTCTTTTCCCCCCAAACCCCTCATCCCCCGGTTCACTCAATTCCCCGGTACCGCTCTCTCGCCGCTCTCCCGCAGGAACCGCTTCACTCCGGCCCGCGGCACCGGCGCCGGCCCGGGGAACGGGTCCGTCCTCTGCGGGGGAAGCACCCTCAGCTCAGGACCCCCCAAAAATCCCCCGGGGACCCCCAAAATCCGCCCGAATTTGGGCATTTTCCCCCTCCCTTCCCTCCCTTCCCCTCACTCACCCCGGACACGCCGCCCGCCATCGCCACCGCGTGCGCGCGCCACGCCCACTTCCCCAGGCGCAGCCAATCGCGATGAAGCGCGGGCAAAGCGTGGCCAATCAGAGCGAGGCGGCGCGGGGAAGGGGTTGAGGGCGGAGGCGCCATCTTGGTGTAGGGCAAGGCGGGTATTGAGTGAAGCGCGGGCGCCATCTTTGCTGTGGGCAGCGCCATCTCTGTCGAGGGCGGCACCATTTTGAGCGAGGGCGCGCAGCGCGGACGTGGCCGCCGCCATCTTTGTTGAGGGCAAATCTCCGCCCGCCACTTCCGGGTTTATTTTCCCAAATTTTGGGGCTTCCAAAATCCCGTTTTTCCCCCCAAAAAAATCCCAATTCCGCCCCCCCAAAAATTCCAATATTTCCCCCAAAAAAATCCCATTTTTTCCCTCCCTAAAAATCCCATTTCCCCCCCTCAAAAAATCCCATTTTTCCCTAAAAATCACATTTCCCCCCCAAAAAAATCCAATTTTTCCCCAAAAAATCCCATTTATTCCCTAAATCCCATTTCCCCCCCAAAAAAATTCCTTTTTAATTAAAAAAAAATCAAATTTCCATTCCCAAAAATCCATTTTTAATTCCCAAAAACCAAATTTAAATTCCCAAAAAATCCCCAAAAAATCCCATTTATTCCCTAAATCTCATTTTTCCCCCCCAAAAAATTCCATTTTTAATTTTAAAAAAATCAAATTTCCATTCCCAAAAATCCATTTTTAATACCCAAAAATCCGTCTATAATTCCCCAAGACCAAATTTAAATTCCCAAAAAATCATATTTAAATTCCAAAAAAATCCATTTTTAATTTGGAAAAAATCCATTTTGTATTTAAAAAATATCCATTTTTAATTCCCAAAAAAACCGTTTTTAAAAACCAAAAATCCACTTTTAAATCCCAAAAAATTCGTTTTTATTTCCCAAAAATTCACTTTTAATTCTGAAAAATTCCATTTTTAATTCAGAAAAAAAATCCCAATTTTTAATTTAGAAAAAATTCGGTTTTAATTCCTAAAAAGTCAATTTTTAATCCCCAAAAATCCATTTTTATTTATAAAAAAAATCATTTTAAAGTCCGAAAAAATCAATTTTTAATTCAGAAAAAATCCTAATTTTTAATTTAGAAAAAAATCCGGTTTTAATTTAGAAAAAATCCATTTTTAATCCCCAAAAATCCATTTTTAATCTCCAAAATTCCAAATTCTAAAAAACTTCATTTTTCTTCCTCTTCTTTCCTTGTCTCCCTTTTTTCCTCATTTTTCCCCAAAACCTCCACTTCTAACCCCAAAATAAATTCATTATCCCCATTTCCCCCATTTTTCCCATTTTTTCCCTCAAATTTCCCAATTTTTCCCCTTTTTTCCCCATTTTCCCCTCATTTTCCCCGTTTTTTTCCCCATTTTTTCTCATTTTTTCCCATTTTTCCCGTTTGTTTCCTCATTTTTCCCCATTTTTTCGCATTTTCTCCTCAAATTTCTCCATTTTTTAATTTTCCCCCATTTTTTCCTCATTTTTCCCCATTTTCCCCTCATTTTTTCCTCAATTTTCCGCAGTGTTTTTCCTCATTTTCCCCTCAATTTTCCCCATTTTCCCCCTCATTTTTTCCTCATTTCCCCCCAGTTTTTTTGCCTCATTTTTCCCCATTTTCCCCCCAAATTTCCACTCGGACGCTCCTGAAATCTTTTATTCCCGGGATTCCCAAAATTCCCAAATTTCCCCTTTATTCCCTCATTTTTCCCCATTTTTTCCTCCTCATTTTCCCCCATTTTCCCTCATTTTTTTCCTCATTTTTCCCATTTTCCCAATTTTCCCTTCAATTTTCCCCATTTTTCCCTTAATTTTCCCCTTTTCCTCATTTCCCCCCAATTTTCCCCATTTTCCCCCTCATTTTTCCCCATTTTTTCCCTCAATTTTCCCAAATTTCACCAAATTTGCCCAATTTTCTCCCATTTCCCCCCCTTCTTTTCCCCCCCATTTTCTCATTTTCTCCCCCATTTTCCCCAATTTTTGTTCCAATTTTCCCATTTCCTCCCCAAATTTCCCCAAATTCTCCCAATTTCCTCCCATTTCCCCCCCTTGTTTTTCCCATTTCTCATTTTCTCCCCCGTTTTTCCCAATTTCACTCCAATTTTCCCATTTTCCCCAAATTTTCCCAAATTTCCCCATTTTTCCCCTCATTTTCCCCTCAATTTTCCCCATTTTTTCCCATTTTCCCCTCAATTTTCCACATTTTGTTCCTCATTTTTCCCCATTTTTCCTCATTATTTCCCATTTTTCCCATTTCCCCCCGTTTTCCCCCCAAAACTCCACTCACACTCTCCCGAATTCTCCTCTTTTATTCCCGAAATTCCCCAATTTCCCCTTTTTCTCCTCATTTTTTCTTGGAGACGCCGACGGTTCTTCCGCGGCGCCCGGTGGTCTTGGTGTGCTGCCCCCGCACCCTCAGCCTGCGGGGAAAAATCGGGGTGAATTCCGGGGAATTCGGGAAAATTTGGGGCAAAATTGTGGATTTCAGTCGGGATTTTCCCAAAATCCCCGGATTTACCCCCAAAAGTGGCGCAGGCCGCGGTGGGCGCGGATTTTCTTCAGCCGCTCCAGGTCCTCGCGCAGTTTGTTGTCCAGCCCGTTGGCCAGCACCTGGGAAATGGGGAAAATTTGGGCAAATTTGGGCAAATTTGGGGAAATTCGGGTAATTTGGGGAAAATTTGGGGAAATTTGGGGAAAATTTGGGGAGGAAATGGGAAAAAATGGGG